GTTCTCTGAATGAGGAAGGTGGGGACAGGTGGTAGCTGAGTGGAGCTGGTTTTCTGGGAAGTTTGAGTTGTGATCTGTTTTCAGCACTGATGATGTGTTGCAAGAAAGAAAAGCTTGTGTGGGAAGCTAAAATGGAAGAATGTAGAAATTCAAGGAAGAAAGAAAGTTAGGAGCTTCTGGGAGAAAATATTTATTAAGACATTTAATCAAAACCACTCTGCCCATCAGAATGGAGAGCTAAGTGAAGTTTAAGAGGAGAAATAATCCTTTCTCAGGATTTTATGTCCATAAAATTTCCCCCAAGTTATTAAAAATGGGACCGGAGAGAGATTTTTAAAAATCTTAGATTTTTATCTCTAAGAATATAACAAGCTCTTTCTAATCATTCAATCTGGGAGAGCTGTGGACTTCTAACGTCATGGTGATTGGCTGGAGCAAATTCAAAGATTGAGTTACAACTATTCAGTAATCATAGAGCAATAGTCCTGCTTTGTTGAATCAGTCACTGAACTTGAAGGTGGGAAGTGTGAGTTCTGACACTAACTAGGTCTTTCAGAGTCTCTGACTCTCATTTCTATGTTTTGCAAACTGAATCTGATTCTCTCTGCCCTGCTTATCTAGAGCTACTGTTGGGAGAGTCAAGCAGTGTATGCAGAAGCACTTTGTAAGCTAAGTGCTACAAAATGCACAGTATAGATAATAATATTCCCATTACACATGTGATAATAGCCAATAGCCACTTAGCCTATTTCCATTAAACATCACCAGCTCTCAGCAAATAAACTAAACATGTGAGATCATTTGCAATTAACTGCAATATAAAGGACTCTTAATGTTTCACTTTGTTTTTCCATACCCAATCTTTAGCATGTGAATATTTCTGAACATGATTCAACTACTTAAAGTAAAAAGAAGGTCATTTAAACTGCACTAGATCCAATAAGTCTTCCTGTAGTGGGAAGACTTTTCTCTAAAGCATACAAAATTATTGCCTTTCTCCTTTTGTTAATCCAGCCCCATTCCTCTGCTATTCAGCTGGGACCCAACCAGAACATATATTACTAGAAAACATTTTGAATTCCTGGAGATTAGAAAGCAATGTGAAATCTTAACAACTTTTTTTTTTTAAAAAAATGTGATTTAACATTTGCAGATATTTTTAAGTTGGATGTAATTTTGTAAGGTTGAGAATCAGGCTTGAATGTACAAGAACATTATAATCATCAAAGCAGACAACTCTGCTATTTGTCAAGTTCTGATGGAGAGCTACTTTGGGCAGTCAATTCTGTAGCCAAGGTTCTCTATGGATGATAAAGCTACAGGTTTAAATAGGTGACATCATATCACAAAGGACATACTTGATAACAGGCATTAGTCCATGATGTTACTCCTCAAGCCATTGCAATACTTTTTTGTGTGTCCCAAAAGCTTTTACTGAGTTGCAAATGACCTGCAAGAAGTTGATGTTAGATGAACTTTTAGTCGCTACTACCCTGACGGACACCTTGATCAGTCTGTTGTTTTTGAACTCAGAGGGCCATTCAATAGTGATACCTCTCCCCTACAGAGAAATCTAGTCTACTCTCCTATAGTTTTAATTTCTACTTAAACCCCCTTTCTGTGCCAAGTCTCACTGCCTGCATTCACTTTTTGAACATCTGCCCCTTATAAATTGGTTCTTCTTCTCTAGTCCCTATCTCCTGTTTTGTTGAATGACACTATCAAGCTCCCGTTTGTTGTCATCATAAACCCCATACACTGTCTCTCTCTCTCTCTCTCTCCTTCCCTCCTCCTAACTGTTTACAAGTACTCCAAGTCATAATTATCTCTCATCTGTCATCTTTGGTTGCTTATTAACTGGTCTCTCTAAATATGCTTTTTGCCTTTGTTCATGGCAATCTTTTAAAAAATATGAATCTGATCCTATCATTCATTTGAGTGCATTTTTCAAAGGCTTCCTGACCTCCTCCTCCAACAATGTCAAAATTCACTTAGGCAGCACACCAGGTCTGGCATTCTCTGGCCCATGTCCCCACTTCTGCATGACTCTCCTCACTGCCCCCCTCCCTCTCCCCCAGTGGTTACCCTGGTCTTCTCCTCAGCACAGTTCACCAGTTTCTTTTTGCTTGGTCCCTCTCAGCAATACATTCCCCTCCCTTCCTCACGGTTGATATCTCTTCTTTCAGTTGAGTTTAAATATCACTTCTTCATCACAGCCTGTGTCTGTGTCTGACCTCTGGACAGAAACATCTTCTGTGACTCATTGTGTAGCAGCCAGTGTAATGGCTGTTTTGGTGTTAATCAGTTCAACATCTGCTCTTTTCATCCGAAGTTAGCTTCTTATTGTTAGGACCATGCCCATCTTTCCCTCCTGACTATCCTTAGCACCCAGGACAATGTGACCCATGTTAAAAAACAAACATTTGTTGAGTAAAGAAAGAAATTTATAAATGAAGTTGACTCTTTCAGAGACACTATTTTAGAGCCGTCTATTGCTTAGTGTAGAATTTTACTCAGTTTAGAACTTCTGCTGCCAGTGGGTCTGCTTTAACTTTAAAATGAAAGGCATTGCTCAATTCTCTGAGATGCCAAGCATGACTGGGGTCCTTTTCTGAAGGAACGGGATCCTGGAGCTGAAATATGAAAACAAGAAAACGAAGAGATGAGGGGCTGGTGTTGTGGCATAGAAAATAAACCCTGCTTACATCTCAGGCATCCAGTATTGGGACGTGGCTGGCCTGCTTCGGATCCTGCTTCCTGCTAATGTGTCTGAGAAAGCAGAAGATAATGGCTCAAGTAGAGTCTCTGCCACACATGTGGTAGACCAGGCTAAAATTGCTGGCTCCAGGCCTCAGCCTTGTCCAGCCTTGGATGTTGTGGCCATTTAGGGAGTGAGCTAATGGATAAAAAAAATCTTCCTGTCTCTTGCTGATGCTATTTCATATAAATGAATAAATCTTTATAAAAGGAAGACTGAAATTGGGAGACAACTGAATGCAAATCCAGAGACAATATGAGGAAGTCACTGGAGGGAAAAAAAAAAAAACTCCTCTAAAGGGAAGGAGACCTGGGGTCATCTTGGGTGCTCTATGGACCTGTAGATGTTCTTTCATCTGTGTCTGCATCTGTGAGAAACAGTCACCAAACAGAAAGGTGGAGAAGTGCACTGGAGGGACCTCAGTGAGCTCCAGCATCTTGGTGAGGCCAAAAATAAGGCTTTGACTCTGATTCAATTTTGATTTTGTGTGGAAACGAAAGCTGTGATTAGGGTGAGGAAGGCTGATTCTGTATTAGCACACAGCAGGATTAGTTTTACAATGCACCTGGCTGAAACACTTCTCTGGGGGAGGGGAGAGAAAGAGAGAGAGAGAAACAGAGATTGTCCATTCACAAATTCATTCCACAAATAGTTCAAATGGTTCAATAACTGGGGCTGCACTAAGCCAAAGCTAGGAGCCCGGAATTCCAAATGCAGCAGTTGAGACTGGAGTCAGTGCTCATATGGGTGGAGGCTTAACCTGCTGCACACAACACTGGCCCTTAGTTGAAGAGTTTCTGCACTGATACTGTTGTAGTGCTGGAAGTGCCTGCTGAGCTTCTGAGAGATGTGGGATGAGTGAGCAAGATGGTCTTATCTCTGTCTCATTCTGCTGGATATTAACTTCTGCTTTCATGTTTAATAGTGGTTAAACCTACATGCACAGTACATCACTAGGGGCTGTGGGAGACCTGGGGGTGTGGTGGAAAGGTAACCAAGCTAGGATTCAGGAGACTGGAGAAGCAATAGCTATGATATCATGCCATGGCACCTTGTTCAGTCTCTGGGTGCCTCCTCTTTCTGAATCTCAGCATTCTGAGACAGCGATTGGAGCTTCTATCTTGACAACAAGCCGGGTTTCTTATTTTGGGGAACTTTGAATCTACCTGCTGCTCAAATAAACAGGAAAAAAAAATAAGAGCTGTATTATGTGGTTGTGGTCATAGAGTTTGATGTCATCAAGGTGCCTGCCACACATGCAGAGGAAACAGAGTGATGAAGCTGCTGCCAGAGTGTCTTCATGCCTATACGAGTTGCAGTGTGACTACCACAGACTCTGTCTACCAAGGGAGCGAGTGAGCTGGGGCTTTGGGACCCTGGAGAACATGCAGGAACCTGCTGGGACCTTTTCTCTTTGGATCTGCCCTTGGTCAAATGCTTTTTGAAGACATAAGCACCAATGTGGGGTTCCTGTTCATGAGGCATCTTCGTGGTTGTTCATTTTTTTTTCTCTTAAACATTAATTACTTTAGAGCCAAATATGTTTCTCATGAGCACTAATTCCCCTTTTCCTTTGTTAAATTGCTAAAGAAAAATATGCAAATCCTAATAAAAAGTGACAGGTAGAAATGGGTTTTGGACAAACTTCTAAGGCAGGAGCACTGTGAACGTTATGTAAATGCCAACCAGCAACGCAGCCTGCTGGCTTATTCCACAGAAGCAAAGGAGACTCAGAAAATCTGGTGCTGCCGCATAACTCCTGACATTGAAGGAATTTGTCTTTTGTTCACAAATCACATTCTGATTGCATCCTCCAATGCTACTTCCAAATGGCAAAGCCTGACAAAAATAGTGTATCTCCTTTGAGGTGGAAGCTTGCTCGCCATTGCCTTAAGCCCTTCTTGATCTTGCCTGTTTAAATCAGGTGCCCCCAAGATAATCTTCCCAAAGAATCCTGTTCTTTTCTTCCCTGGCATTTCTCACAGCTTCTGATTATGTTTGTTTAGCCTGTGGTACTGGACGTAAGTTCTTTTTTAAAAAAGATCTTATCTTATTTGATAGGCAGAGGGAGGGAAGTAAGGTGGGAGGAAGGGGGGAGAGAGAGAGAGAGGAGAGAGAGAGAGAGAGAGAGAGAGGAGAGAAGGCGCTCTAATTTGCTGGTTCACTCTCCAAATGTCCACATAACTAGGGCTTAGCTGAGTGGAACCTAGGATCCTGGAATTCAATCTAGTTCACCCGTGTGGTGTTCGCTTTGGCAGCACATATACTAAAATTGGAACAATACAGAGACGATTAGCATGGCCCCTGTGCAAGGATGACACCCACGTAGTGACAGGGACCCAAGTGCATAACTGTCATTTGCTTCTTCTTAGGTATGCATTAGCAGGAAGCCTGAATTGAAAGTGGAGCTGGGACTCAAGCACAGGCACTCCAACATAAGATGTGAGTGCTGCAAGCCATGTCTCAGGTGCCAGGCCAAACATCCACCCCTGGACTGTAAGTTACATAAGGGCAGAAACAACCTGTATTCTGTGCACAGCCTGGTGACTCAGCACCTGGGGCATGGAGCAGCACACAGCACAGGTGCTATGTGGGATTGCTGACGTCTGCATGAAATCGTAGGTAACATGGGGTCTCCATGGAATAGTCACATTGGAAAAACATCATATGAAATATCATATGAAAACACAGAATCTGTTTAGTGTTTCTGAGTTTTCCAAATGTTTTTGGTTTAATGTTTGAAATCTGTAAAAATTATTTCATGCCTTTCAAATCTCTCCAGCAATGCAATACAATGTTTCCATTGTTTGGAGAGGCAGCTTGGTGTAAATGGATTCTAGAGCCAGACCTTCTACGTTCGAATCTCCACTGCTAGCTTCGGGATTATGTGGAATTATTGAAGTTCTCTGTGCCTCAGTTTTCTCATCTGTAAAAGTTATAAAAATAGTGCTATGACATAGTCATGAGAATTGACTGAGCATGTGTGTGTGTGTGTGCATGCTGTACTTGTATTAATCATGTATGTCTAGAATGCTAAGGACAAAAGACACAACAGTATTAAATGAATTTTGCTGTTGATACTATTTGCCAGAATAGCATTTTTATTAAGTAGTTGATTCAGAAGTACATCTCAATCTGTCTGCTTTTATATCGAACCATAGTTTTCCATGTATAGCTGTCCCATCTGCAGGTGGGGAATCTGAGATCTACTTGGGTAAAGGATCTTGCCCAAGTGGTGCAGCTGCTAAGAGGCAGAGTTGGGACAGTAAACCAGGTGTCCAGTTTTTTTCTTACTCCAGTGCTAGCACTGTGTTTTCCCTCTGTCACACTAAATTTCCATTAAGGATGAGGATAGGCTAGACCCAGAGCTTTAGCACAGGGTCTGGATGAGCCTCAGTGGGTCAATCAGGATGCGCCGAGTGCCCCCTTCCCCTGTCATGGTTCACCACAGGGAAATGCGCTGGAAACCCAGGCAGCACTTTTTGAGCTCCCTGACCCATGCCAGACAGTTCTGGGACAGCTGGTAGCCTCTCCGTGTCACTAATGAACGAACAAGCTAGACCTTTAAAAACCAACACATCCCAGTTCTATTTGTTGAAGAATTTAACAGAAAAGATTGTTATCTGTCTAAGAAATACATTTATACTGCTTGCTTTCTATGTACTGGCCCCAGCACTAAATATTGTATGCACATTATGCCATTTCATGCTCACATGCAAACCTGAAACACACACTTCTACATGCAAGACACTAAAACCTTGGGGTTGCCTCGGCCAAGGGCAGAGCCAGTGAAGATCCAAGTCAACACTTTTCTCCCTTCTTCCCAAGGATAGGGAACAAAAACACTGACAAAGAGGAGAGACAGAGAGGAAGATCTTTTGTCTGATTCACTCCCCAAGTGGCTACAATGGCTGGAGCTGAGCCAGGAGCCTCTTCTGGGTCTCTCATGTGGGTGCAGGGTCCCAAAACTTTGGGCCATCTTCGACTGCTTTCCCAGGCCACAAGCAGGGAGCTGGATGGGAAGCAGGTCCACCGGGATTAGAACTGGCACCCATATGGGATCCCGGCGTGTGCAAGGTGAGGACGTTAGCTGTTAGGCCACAGCGCTGGGCCCTGGTGATTTTTTTTTTAAACAATTGAGGGATAATATACATGCACTAATTTTAAGTTCATAGTTTGGTCCTTTACAAACATAGGCAAAAATATGTGTAGCTAGCAGTCAGAGAAATGTTTTTTGCCCTGGGGAAGACTCCACTGTGCTCTTTCTCAATGGCTACCAGTATTCTGGCCTTTGTCATCGGAGTCAGCACTTTCTAGATGATTCTGATTCCCTGCCTGGATCACTGGGCACACAGTAGTCATGTGACCTCTCCCTCATCCCATCCATGCATTTCCTGTTTCCTTGAGGCATCTTCTGGTCTTGCTGAGCTTCTCATAGTAATAATGATAATAATGATAACTCCCCTAGGACTGTATCTAGGGCAAGGTCAGGTTCACCCCTGGCTGAAAGATTGTGAAGACTTTGACTACCTTGGTTCTACCCTGCAGAGTGTAAACAAGGCATCTCCAACAAGGATGGAGCCACTTAGTATCACACAGGGCTGGGCCCTGGGGTCCTTGTGCCAGTGCCTGGCTGTGGGAACTTGACAAAGTTTCTGAAATTAGAACTCTGAGTCCCTGTGTCCAACTGAATGGTAACAGGGCCGGGTTAGGCATCTTTTTGGCATCCTTACAGTACTTTATGTCATAGGTGACCTCACAGCCATTTTGTGATTCAGCAACCAAAAGAAATGGCAGCGATTTGCCTAATGTGTGAATAAGCTGCAAGACTAGGACCCTGGACAACATATGACTCAGCCTACAGGCTGATGTTCTATGCTACTGGCTCTGGCCGTGGTCACTCTGACCCTTTCCTGCTAGCTCATAAAGCATGGATGGTGTGAGTGAAGCAGCACAAATCAACAGTTAGGTAAGAGCAGTGCCCATGACATCTAATGAGCCAGGTGCACCAGAGCGACAGCCTCCCTAAAGGACAAATAGCCCAGTTTTCCTGGAATTGATGCAGAGAGGCAAGCAAGAGGAGAGAATGAGAGAAGGGGCTCTCACGTTCGACTCTATAATCCCATGTCATCTGGAACACCAAGCTGTGAGTTTTACTCCACAAGCACTTATTGGATGCCTGATGTTGACAGAGTTTTGGTGGCAGGTATAAAAATCAAAGAGATTGAGACCCTGCACCTCATTGATTCACATTCTGGCATGGAAAGAGATCAAACAAGCGCAGCACTGTAATCCAAAGCATTGGACACGTGCACAGACATTAACGTCTACCTTACTCTGGTGGGAAGGCAAGGTCTACCTGTTAGACAGGCTGGTGTGCAGAGAAGGTGAGCCTAAGTACAGAATGAGTGAGAGATAGCACAACAGTGGGAGAGGGTGAGGAGGGGACCTGCCACAGCCTCTGAGCTCGTAGTGTCACCTTGAATTGGGGATCTGGGAAACCAGGGGCTGAGGCTCATAAACCGAGCTAGAGATGCTAGGAGTCTTTTAGACCTGACAGATCTCAGCACCATGGGAACACTGGCCTGCCCCACCTGGTGATCAATTTCCTCCCCCTTTGACACCGTTTCCTTGGTAATATTCTTTCTCAAAGACTGGCAACCACCATTTACCACTCCATGGCATCTGCAGGCTCTTTCGCCTCTCCTTTCCATGGTCGCACCCCAAAACCTTCCTTGTAGAAAGTGTCATGTGTCTAAAGCAGAGAGGAGCTCATGTTTCCTTTCTTATAGTTGTTTACTGTTAGTATTGCCACTAAGTTGGTGGAAATTACTTTTAAATCCACGCTTATACCTTCCTAACATTTCAAGCCATTTTGCAACAATTTTTTTCATCAGTCTAAAAGCAATTCATTTCTCTGTGTCATTTCAACCTCCCTCCCACACTACGTGGCTGGGAAGCCCAACCTCTGGCTTCTGTTACTCAAAATATGTGAGTGTGGTTCCTGTCCTGCCTATTTTATCCAGTTCAATAAAACTGACTCAAATCACATCTTAAAACCATAGCGGGATTCTCTCTCTCTCTCTTTTTTTCTTAGTACTAATACAATCAGACAATCTCAAAGAACAAAATCATGGTCAAAAATCAAATTTCCACTAAGTGCACTAGAGCTATAAAGGGAGGGGGGAAAAGGCAGGAACTCTCAGAATTTCCTGAATGAGTCATTCTCCTGGATTCCAGATTGAAGGCCAAAAACAGAATGTCCTACCTGTATTCATCCCTCTAACATGTGGACAAGCTTCCCAGCAGACCAAAAACACCCTGACCACCTGTGTATGTCTCCCCTTGCACATCCATCAGAATACCCTAAAACAGGTTCTTCAACCTGGTTATTCAGTAGCATTTTTTCTCTGGAGAGTGCTGAGTGAACCAGGTGGCTGGTTCGCTGCATCCCGGAGGGCCTAGGGCAGGGTCCTGGACCCTGGGTTGCTCAAGTCCTCTCCAACTTACTTTGCTGTGTGACCAGGAGTGGTAACCACTGTTTGACTCTTACCCTTACTTTTCTACAGGGAATACAAGCAGCCTCAACTTTAAGGCAAATTCTGAAATTATACATTGCCACGTATCCAAAGAACATGAAATTTTTGCTTTTTGAGTACATTTTTGGGGGGGCTTTAAAAACTTTCCCAGCACTCCCAGAATATTTGGTCTATGTTATCAAAATTTTGGTCAAATTTCCAAAATGGGGGGTATTTGTGGAGTACCTTTTTATATCAAGGAGACTCTTGGAAGAGTATAAATGAATGCAGATGTGGAGTGGAGAAATTAATAGTTTTGGGATTTAGCTGAAATTTGTTACTCATCCTTCAGAGGAAAAAAAGCAATGGGAATCTCCCATATAAACAGATTAATGATAACTTTTTTTTTTCTTTTTACAAACTGTGAATGTCTTAGCAAGGCCATCTATTTAAGCAGCAGTTTCTAAAAACTTGCTTCATTTTTAGTTATGGTTAAAAACCGCATGTCTCTCCACAATACCCCAAGCATGTCTCCTGGTACCATTTGCCATGAGTCCCATAGCCAAACCTTTGCTGCTCAGTCTTGCCCGTCTCCAGGTGAGAGCTCCTCTCTTCTATCCCAGGTGCCTCCACTGGAAACCACGCACTCCCGGAATGCACGTTCGACTTAACACTTGAGCATGGCAAGAGCATACTCCATCTGACGTTGGTTCACCAGCTGAAAGTGAGGCGGGTGGCTCTGTTGAGGGAGCAAGCCCAAGACCCTCAGCTTTGCAAAGTCTTTTATTTGTCTACCGTCCTCAGTGAGTGTGGTCTGCCTTGCCTGAAGGAA